TCCGTATATACAACATCACGTGAAGCGCCCGCCTATATGCAACACCACGTAAAGCGCCCTATATACAGAATTATGCGAAGCGCCCAATTTCCATGGCCTGATGCGGCCTATATACAACTTCGCTTGAAGCACTTTATATACAACATCACGTAAAGCGCCATCAATACAACATCACGTGTAGTGACTAATTTAGCCAGGATATTTAGTGATTATCTAGTCAGGACAGTGAGTAACTAACATAGCAAAAATATTCAGTGACTAATCTAGCCAGGTAATTTGGTGATCTTCTATGTAAAACCACGACATTGTTGACTAATTTAGTCAAGATATTTTTAGACTAATACAAAATGGCGCGTTTTCCGCTTCAGTCGTAAGTAGACTTATAATACAACAATGTTGCTGGTCGATCTATGGTCGTTAGGTAGCCCAACATATGCTACCATGTAGCCGTGTTCCACACGTCTAAAATAAACTCTCAGGTTTCTCCCTGCCGCAGGGCCTGTCGCAGGGCCTGTCGCAGGGTGAAGCAATAAAAACCCCACGCGCCAGTAAAACCAGTCACATCCTCGGTCAGCCATTTACCAAGATTAGCTCCGTTCCATTAAAAACTGTCTGTCGTCATAAACTGACTAGTGATGTCCCTTGGAACGAATAAGCTCCCTTTGTAGGAGTATTACCTGGTGTTAGCGTTGAGTAGCGCCCCGTGTAGGGACAAGGCTAGGAGCACCTGATACTGACAGGTTAGACCGGTGATAGTTTACGGTCACTGGCCTGTCCTTTTTATACGGTTTTTACACAAAGTTGTTTATGTGTGTAATGTCCAGATTTTGTAGATAGTTTCATGAGAATAGGAAACTTCTGCGTGATCATTCAAATTAATCTACGTTTCATTTCTTTTGCATTAAAACGAACCTAATATATATATATATATATATATATATATATATATATATATATATATATATATATATATATATATATATATATATATATATATATATATATATATATATCATACATGTATGCACACACATATATTTTATTTTACATGTTTTTAATTAAAGTCGAGATATAAGTCATTTTTCAACCTCTCCACCCCCCCCCCCCCAATCAGCTTACCTTCGCTACACCTACGTCTGAAAACGCTATACATATTATATACACACAACATGACCAGACCACATAAAACAAATACACAGACACTGCTATTTTTAATATAAATCTTCACGAGTTTTTAATTCGTGACGAATTCCTGTTCCATTCAATTTAATTACTTTTTTTCAATGTATTATGTATCGCCATTAGGTAGTTAAATTAAAATAGACTAACATTGTCATTATAAAAGTGACATTATTTGTAAATAGCCAGTATGGTTGTTCTTTTATCCTAGACTTACATTTGCCTAATTTATTTTACTGCAATCTCAGAGTCGCACAACTCATGAAATTTTTATTTTACTTACTATCAATGTGAGACTTTACCTATAAACTATTATCCCACGTGGTATAAAGCATGCAGTTTCTATTTTCAATTATTATTCATGTGTGGCCATAACCCATAAAGATTCGAGTCTTGATAATTGTCGCCCATCAGGCCCGATCGATTGCAGCTTACCTGAATTTATTTACCGGTAACTTTTAGCTGTGTTGCCTACAATCACCTAATCCGATTTGCCCTCAATAGCTCGATCAATGGAGTCACGTGACCTATTTATTCTCTCCCCTTGCAAAATGTTGCACGGAAATTCTGAGAGAGGGGATACACAAGGAGGCTGGGGTTTTTGGGTTGGCTGAAGTAGCAGACGGTGCAGTTTGCAGGGGTCTAAGATCCCCGTCATACAGACGTTGCATTTTGCAGGGGTCTCAGACCCACAACAGACAGAATAAAGCTAATCCCTACCCGATCCACCCAACTGTTTTACTGCCATATTGGAAGAGTTGCGTTTAATCCGGAGTGATCTTGAGCCTACCCCAGTCGTTAGAGGGTTAAGTCCCTTTCTTGCAAGGTCACCAAATCAATATTGGACCAAGTAGCCAATATTGAGACCATCAAATCAATATTGGGCCAAGTTGCCAGTACTGAGGCCATCAAATCAATATTGGGCCAAGTTGCCAGTACTAAGGCCATCAAATCAATATTGGGCCAAGTTGCCAGTACTGAGGCCATCAAATCAATATTGGGCCAAGTTGCCAGTACTAAGGCCATCAAATCATTATTGGGCCAAGTTGCCAGTACTAAGGCCATCAAATCAATATTGGGCCAAGTTGCCAATATTGAGGCCATCAAATCAATATTGGGCCAAGTTGCCAGTACTAAGGCCATCAAATCATTATTGGGCCAAGTTGCCAGTACTAAGGCCATCAAATCAATATTGGGCCAAGTTGCCAGTACTGAGGCCATCAAATCAATATTGGGCCAAGTTGCCAGTACTAAGGCCATCAAATCATTATTGGGCCAAGTTGCCAGTACTAAGGCCATCAAATCAATATTGGGCCAAGTTGCCAGTACTGAGGCCATCAATATTGGGCCAAGTTGCCAGTACTGAGGCCATCAAATCAATATTGGGCCAAGTTGCCAGTACTGAGGCCATCAAATCAATATTGGGCCAAGTTGCCAGTACTAAGGCCATCAAATCAATATTGGGCTAGATTGATAATACTAAGACCGATAAATCAATATTGGGGCCACGCTTTCGAATTATACAACATCTGTAGTCAACATTTGGGGTCCAACATTTGTGGTCCAACATTTATTGTCCAACATTTGTGGTCCAACATTTGTGGTCCAACATGTGTTGTCCAACATTTGTGGTCCAACATTTGTGGTCCAACATTTGTGGTCCAACATTTGTGGTCTAACATTTGTGGTCCAACATTTGTGGTCCAACATGTGTGGTCCAACATTTGTGGTCCAACATTTGTGGTCCAGCATTTGTGGTCTAACATTTGTGGTCCAACATTTGTGGTCCAACATGTGTGGTCCAACATTTGTGGTCCAACATTTGTGGTCCAGCATTTGTGGTCCATCATTTGTGGTACAACATTTGTGGCCCAACATTTGTGGTCCAACATTTGTGGTCTAACATTTGTGGTCTAACATTTGTGGTCCAACATTTGTGGTCCAACATGTGTGGTCCAACATTTGTGGTCCAACATTTGTGGTCTAACTTTTGCGGTCCAACATTTGTGGTCCAACATTTGTGGTCCAACATTTGTGGTACAACATTTGTGGTCCAACATTTGTGGTCCAACATTTGTGGTCCAACATGTGTGGTCCAACATGTGTGGTCCAACATTTGTGGTCCAGCATTTCTGGTCCAACATTTCTGGTCCAACATTTGTGGTCCAACATGTGTGGTCCAACATTTGTGGTCCAACATTTGTGGTCCAACATGTGTGGTCCAACATGTGTGGTCCAACATTTCTGGTCCAACATTTCTGGTCCAACATGTGTGGTCCAACATTTGTGGTCCAACATGTGTGGTCCAACATTTGTGGTCCAACATTTGTGGTCCAACATTTGTGGTCCAACATTTGTGATCCCGCATTTGTAACAATGTCATAACCGATACCTTACACGACTTGATTATCTAATTAATTAATTACATAGTGACAGGTCTACCGTCGGCCTAAATTAATGAGACGTTGGGAAACTTTCTTATTAGAACTTCACAGACGGCCCCACTGCGTCTCAAATAAATTCTTCGATATTTTTTTTTGCTCATCGCCGCCATTGATTAATGTGTCGTCGGTAACAGAAGCAGGCGCGAACATTATTGGCGCGAAATGCGATACGCGAGTAATTGATAGAAGAAGGGGAGATAATGACGGCTGGAGGTTGTGACACATTACACATCGTTAGAATTCGCGGGCGGCTCAGTGAGTGTTGTCAATACCAGTTGCTGTAGTGGTGGGTGGGTTGGTGGAGGTTGTGTGGTGTGTGGTAGATGTTGAATATTTTTGTTGTTGTTGTTGTTGTTGGATGTGCTGTTGTTTAGATATTTAACGGAGCCTGGAAAGGGGGGGGGGGGGTAGGGGGGAGGGAGGATAAATGCAGCTGTAGTTAAAGCACAAGTTGATGGTGTGTCGTTTCACTTCTCGCTATGACCATCGCTAAACTGTACACTACTTGGACCCACGTTTACAAAAACTAAGACCAGCCCTTAACTCACACATCCAACTCGTAGTACATTTAACTGTTTAAAATATCGTCATTGCTAAAATTCATAAAACAATAAGTTACAAAATTAAAACATTGATTTTTCAGTAGCCGTCGAAACCCCAGTGTTATTGAAGACGTGGGCTAAGAAATCTTCCTGCAACGATGAAATCGAATCTTTTTGTCCCTATTTTTATAAAAGTCGCTTATACCAATGGTTATAAAACTGTCCATTTTATTATTTGAGGGGGGATATTGAGTTTTTGATACAAGACGCAATCAACAATAAGAATTTTTTTTTAACGTTACAAGAAACATTGAACCTTCTAGAACTTGCTGTTGTGCCGTCGACAAAGCTCCAACAAAACTGCTATCAACTCAACTTCCCATTTAAACACAAAATTCCACTCCAGGCTAAACTTTTAAAAAAACGGCTGTATTTTGTTTTCAAAAAAGGGCCACTCCACTTAACAGAACCTCTCTAACTTAACAGAACCTCTGAACTCACTTAACAGAAAGTCTGAACTTATGGACTTTTGGTCCGTCACGGTCCATCCGACACGTGTTTGAACTCTGTGCCGTGCCGCTAATTGTGGCAGGCACCTGCAAGAAGTGCCGGACTCTCCAGAGCGGCACAAGTGATGACATCGATTGCACGTTGCGTCGATACACGGCGACAATAGGCAGCCGAGATTCCACACAATGTTTTAACCAGTGACTTTTTCAAATCTTTTTTTTTTGTTTCAAGTTCAGTAACTTTCTCAAAGATCAATATTTAACTGGAGTGATTTTTTTAAAAATAAAATAAAAGAGTGTTGCTATTGTAAATAGTTGCATCTTACCTTAATCGTTTCATGGTTGAGCGTCATTTTTTTTTATCTTCTCCAAAAAACTCAAATGGCGTCCACTTCTCCACGCTCAGAACCTTCCAGCAACCACTGAACCGTGACCGTCGATACTCCACTCCACACTCCTGAATGTCAAGGACAGATCACCCCCGCATCCGGCCCTATCGGAAACACAATAACACTCCTTGAATAGCCTCCCCTTGCCACCGACCGGAAATCACAGTTGTAGACTTACTCCTCCGGCAGCTTTCGACACATTGATTTCAAGAAAACAACGGACATTGTTGCGTCCAGTGTCCACGTTCGACTCACCCCGAACCCGGCTCTTGTCTACAAAACGTACCGTTTCACCGGGGTGAGTGGGGCAGAGAGGGAAAAAAATGTCTCCGCCTGAACTGCAGCCCGTTCTTGAGAGGAATGAACTACAGAATCGCTGTCTCCCCCTTCGTGTTATGCAAAGTTTGTTGGGGCAATTCAGGGAGCCCATTAGCAATTGTAATGAAGCGGACTTCGTCATGCAATTGTATTAATATTTTATACAGCACTGGCAGATCAATGAGAAGGTCCTCCGACACAAAGGAGGAGGAGTGGAGGAGGAGGGAGGGAGGGAGGGGACCAGCCGCTAGGTCCTGGTTTACTTTGGTAAGCCAACACAGACGCCGAGTTGTATTCGGTGCCACGTTCGTCCACGGTCTGAGAATAAACAAGATCTGCTGGAGTTATCCCTCCTTCGCCGCGGGGAATAACCCTGAATTCGGACTAATGAAATATTCGGTTCCATTTTCGTCAGAAAAATCTCGTATTTTTTATCTTTTTACGATACTTGAAGATACAACGTATTCAGAAACATCGCGAACATTTTGTTTATATCTAGGGCAAGTTGAATCACGTGCAACAGGTTGCTCTTGTCTCTAATCTTCCGGGATAAACAACGCCATCTGATATAAAACTCATTAAGGTTTTAATTAAACAAAAAGATTAGCTAAGCTGTTCATTTAATTTTGCATTAAATTTCCATTTCAGTGGACTTTAATCCATGGAACCTTGGCTTAATACGTGGCGTTGTTGTCGACGGTGTAGTCGTTGGTGGTCGAACGGCACGACGGTGTATGAACACACACACATACATACACACATAAGATATACACATACATAGGTGCACACCATACGCACATACTAACAAGCATAACCCACACAAGGAAGACGATACATGATAATCGGCAGGAAAAAGGACGTAAAAAGTAATTTATTTTTTACTAGCATGTACCTTAATACGTCAAGTATCATGTAGCTTTATATCAAAATTAAAAAGTTGTTAGTAATAGAGATAGTAACAAGATTCTAGTAATGGAGAAAATAACAAATTTTCAGTATTGGTGAAAATAACAAGTTTCTAGTATTAGAGAAAATAACAAGTTTCTAGTATTGGAGAAAATATTGGAGAAAGTAAAAAGTTTCTAGCATTGGAGAAAATAACAAGTTTCTAGTATTTGATAAACTAACAAGTTTCTAATTTTGGAGAAAATAACACGTTGCTAGTAATCGAGCAAGTAAAAAATGGTTAGTATTGGAGAAAGTATTGGAGAAAGTACCAAGTTTCTAGTATCGGAGAAAGTAACAAGTTTCTAGTATTAGAGAAAGTAACAAGTTTCTAGTATTAGAGAAAGTAACTAGTTTCTAGTATTGGAGAAACTAGCAAGTTGGAGACAATATCTCATAAACGAGGCGTCAGATAGATCTAGACGCCGAACCAACGCTGTGAGGTGACCTCGAGTCATATCGATCTGCATCAGTATGATAAACCTATTCAATTATCTGTCGTCTGTATTGATTGGGTTCAAGACACGGTCACGTGGGGGTACTCACTGTAAGACACGTGCCCGAATGACGTCATCGGTCTGCTTCTTGCAGACACGATGTTAAAGTGTCTGGAGATTATGTTGTTCAACGAACTAGATGCTACAGTAAATAACTGCTCATGAAAATAACAAGTTTAACGGGAATATTCTGATCAGAATAGTAACACATGTTTTACAGTAACAAACGTATGCTTGTCAAGAAAGTAACACGTTTTCAGTTTTTTTAAAAACTTGTAATGAAAATAAGTTTTTACAGTAACAAACTCGCACTTGTCATAAAAATAATAAGTTGTTACAGTACCAGACTGACCATGAAAGTAACAAGTTTTTACAGTACCATAATCTTCATGACACTAACAAGTTTTACAGTACCAACCTTAAGCAGGCACCATGTCTGGAAGCGACGTTGTCTGAATATTGATGAGGTTATTTTTACTCCGTGGACAGTGAGGTGGGGATGTTTAGGGAGGGGAGGGAGGTGTTTAGGGATGGGGGGATGTGTTACACAAGGCATGATGGGTAACTTTTGGGAGCTACTGTCTGTGTGACTTACAGTTCTAGTGTGTGTGTGTGTGTTTGTGTGTGTGTCTGTATGTGTCTGTGTGTGTCTGTGTGTGATTGTGTGTGTGTGCCTGTGTGTGTTTGGGTGTGTATGTGTGTGTGTTTGTGTCTGTGTGTCTGTGTGTGTTTGTGTCATTGTATGTGTGTGTCTGTGTTAATTCTGACCTTAACAGTTCATCCCTTGTTGATGTTAGCCTGAACACGCTTAAGTGTTAACGATGGCTGTTTTTCTTTTAAAATTTGGCCCTACATGCTTGAACTGTAGGCCTTACACACTTCAGTAGTTGGCGCTACACACTTGGCCCTACACTCCTGAGTAGTTGGCCCTACACACTTGGCCCTACACACTTGGCCCTACACACTTGAGCTGTAGGCCTTACACACTTCAGTAGTAGGCGCTACACACTTGGCCCTACACATTTGGCCCTACACACTTGAGCTGTTGGCCTTACACACTTCAGTAGTTGGCCCTACACACTTGGCCCTACACACCTGAGTAGTTGGCCCTACACACTTGGCCCTACATACTTGAGCTGTTGGTGTGTTGGCTATCGAACACACCTCGTCTAGTAAACAAACATTGGACGTCACATCAAAAGAATCAAAAACCAACATATACCGGATTAAAGGTATTGGATTTTAAATCTTTCCATTGTGTTCTATGGGACTGTGTTATATTTCTAAAGGGCTGGCTTAATGCTCTTTGGATTATCGGGGTTATTTGTGATATATATATATATATATATATATATATATATATATATATATATATATATATATATATATATATATATATATATATATATATATATATATATATATATATATATGAAGCATTTTGAAAGTTAGAACGACACATTAACTAATACTTACTAAAAAAAAGTATCCCATAAATTGAAAACTGTCTTCCCTTTCTCCCCACGCTTCCCCCAAACATTCTTGTTACCTCCCCCGAGGCCATCATCGTCTAGTAGGTTATCTTCCCCTGATCAGACAATCTTTTTTTTTTCTGACAAGAAAAATGCAAATTTCGTCTTCGAAGCCGACTTCAAATTTTGATAACCCGACATCCGGAATTATTCCCTTTTTTTTAACGGCTGCCTTGAATTTTTTAAATTTTTTTTTTAGAATGGTATTTGAAAATTATTTTATCTTTTCTATGCGAATGATAAAAATATAAACTGGAGATTCTGTAAGCGTGTTTTTATACCCAAAATATTCTAGGAACTTCGCAAGGCGATACATTCAGTTTGATGCTTACATGCATCTTCATCGCATAAATCACACTCCCTCTTATTAACACAAAACACAAGTCACTAGTTGAAGTATCAACACACAAAACACAAGTCACTAGTTGAAGTCTCAACACACAAAACACAAGTCACACAATAGACACACATTAAACACGCAACCCTAATTCACGACTCAAACATCAACACACAACACACGTAATAAATTAAAACATCCACTAGTACATTTATAAATTCAAATAAAACTTTAAGTACCCAAACAATACCCTAGCTGAATGTAATAAATACTACATTTGTCGAAAGTTTATAATCACTATAAGATTTACTATTATTGATTTTTTTTTTTAACTCCTATGAGATACAACCTGAATCATCAGAGAGAATGAGATTTTACCATCAATATACACAGAGACGGATACGTTATTATTAGTATCTGCTGAGATATAGATATTATACTATCAATATTCCCGGAGAAAAAAAAGACTGCTATCGATATACAGTGTGTGAATGATTTAATGCCATCAATAATTGCAGAGATAACGGCACTGTATTATCAATATCTACAAAGATAAAGAATCTTTACTATCAATATCTGTAGAAATAGATACTGCACTATCAATATCTACAGAGAAAAAAACTTTATTATCAATAATTGCAGAGATAGATACTGAACTGTAAAGAATCTTCACTATCAATATCTGTAGAAATAGATACTGCACTATCAATATCTACAGATATAAAAAAAACGTTATTATCAATAATTGCAGAGATAGATACTATAGTATCAATATCTACAGAGATAAAGAATCTTTACTATCAATATCTGTAGAAATAGATACTGCACTATCAATATCTACAATAATTGCAGAGATAGATTACTATCAAAATCTACAAATAATAGATACTATAATATCAATATCTTCAGATAATAGATACTGTACTATCAAAATCTACAGATAATAGATACTATACTATTAATATATTCAGATAATAGATACTTTACTATCAATATTTGCTACCTTGTGTCACCTGCTTGTACGAGGAAAACAAAAAAAAAACATGAAACGAATTCAGCGTGAAAGGGCAACAACCCTCCCCCACCCCCCCCCCCCCCCACGTCCGACCTAAGAGGGGGGATAACTTCCTGTAGTGACAGTCGTGTACAAATCCCTGACCACTAACGTCAGCCGCCCCGTGTGACGTCAGATCTGCGAGTCCCGAGGTGTGATCGCCTGGTCCGCGCTCCTATTGAGGCGAGCCGGGGTAAACACTAATGAACGTTGCGATAAAACGCCGATTGCTAATCAATAAGGCAGTAATGGCCCTCATAAAACCTGCTTAAGATTTGTACCTGCTGTTAAGGCGAGTGGTGGGGGGAGGGGGATAAAGTGAAGGGGGTGGTTTAAGAGCGAGGTGAATTCGAAAGTTCGGGGGTGATTTTTGTTCAACAAATCAGAGCTCGGGAATATTTTTTGGCTAACTAACGATCACCTGACATGGGGCGACGTGGCCCAGCGGTAGAGCACTGGACTGCTAACCTGAGTTCGAATCCTGCTTCAAGTCAGTAGACCGTCCCAACTTTATTAGGTACATAACTCACGTTAGTGAAAGTAAATGCGGTTGGGCATAGTGCTGACCACACTATCCCTTCATAACCCAAAACTTTTTTCCCGAAGCATAAAACGTTACACGTAGTTCCTGGTACCTGGTGCCTATAGAGCTGAGCGGGA